CCGCCCTGCACGCGGTGGCGGTGCACTGACCCGGGCCGCCCGCGCGGGCGCCGCCGCCGCCCGTCCTCCAAAGTTTCCTCGCAGTCCTTCCCTCTCCCCTTCGCTCCTGCCTTTCTCTTCTTGCCTTCCCTCTCTCTCTCCTTTTCCTTGAAGGCAGAGAAAACTCCCCGCGCGAAAACGGAGGTTTGCCATTCATGTGAGCCGCCTTTCTGCTTCGCCCTTTCCGCCGTGCTCTCCTTCAGGGTCTCGGTTTCTTTGCTGTTTCTTAACTTTTTTTTCCGCTCTTTTGGGGCAAAATGAAACAAACCCGAGCTGCCCTCCCCCTCCCCGCCCGGTATGAACTGCCATCTGCATCACTAGTTTTCCAAAAGTACTTCAGGCATCTTCGCTTTGCTGCAGACTAGACGAGCCTTGCCCGGCTTTGCCTGTTTGCTTTCCTTTGTCTGGGGAAGAGCAGGGTTTTTATATGGGACCGATCTTTAAAATCATAAACAGTGTGAAACGGCTGCAATCTCACGGCATGAGAGCAGCAATGTTTCCAGCCTCCAAGTAACAAACCGCTTGGATCTTGGAAACCCTGCAAAGCGCTTGTTTCCTCTGTGCGTGTGTGTGCGTGCGTGTGCTTTGCTGTTACGAAAAAGGGCAGCATTGCTGCAGGGCGAGACCGCAGGACCTGCAGGCGGGCTCACCGTTAAAACCGAGCGGTGCGCCGGTAGCCGAGGCCACACAGGTTCAGGCGGGGCGGGCGAGCGGCGGAGCGCGCACCGCCGCTGCCCGCGCAGCGCCCGCCTCGCTGTAAATACTGGACTGGAACCTGCACTGGAAATCAGAGGAGGTCCCCTCTGCAGTACCTGTTGTAACGTGAATGTTTACTGCAGGTTTCAGGCGGAAGAGAAAGAGAAGTTAATTTGTCTGTTGACCTCTGATTAATTTGAAGGTTTGGGGAGCTGGGGGTTGTTTATTTTTCCATTTTGTAGCTATTTATTTCATAGCTTAGAAACAAACAAAATCAATAATAAAAATAAATCCGTTACCAAGCACAACGCCCAGCATAGCTTATGAAAAGCTGCTGAAGTCACTGGTAAATCGTGGAAAAGCGTCATAACAGCAGGTCCAAACTGCGGAGGTAATCCTGATTTCTGCTGGAGCTTTGCAGACAAGCAGAGAAGGGGCTAGGG